AGGAAGCCTTGGCATCCTGATTTCTAATAAACCTGGAGCCATCCACATCAGCTTAGTTCCGAATCGCTATATCCTAAGGCAATATTCATTATTGCAGGGGATTTCAATGTACACTTAGGTGCTAATGAGGAAAGTTTATATACCACTTTCATTGGGTTATTAGATTCATGTGATTATATATTGGGGGAAAGTTGTCGAAAATCCAAAGATAAAATATGCAATAATGCAGGGTGTTGCTTTACTCAGTTCACAAAAAAGAGGGATCTCCTAATATTAAATAGTTTTGTGAAGGGAGACGGTTCTGGGGAATGTACTCATTCCAGGAGTGGCAGTGTGATCTCCTACATAGCAATCTTACATTCTGCGTATTAATATGTTGCCCAATTTGAGATAGATGATATTCCAGGAAGTGATCAGTTACCTCTGGCACCCAACATGTAATCCTCATCGATTTGAATTACAGTTGTACTCCGTCACCAGTGGTAGATATGGCACTGACTCAGCTACTGAAGACTGAGGAATATATGAATGCCTGTAACACCACTCTCACTGCCAGCAATGACACTGAGGCAATAAAGCTATTTCAAATCCTGACTGAAAACATGGAGCACACCTAAAAATGAGGGCAACCACAGCCAGCTGGTTTGATAGTGAATATAAGCAGTCTAAGACCCAAATGAGGGAAATTTATTATAAGTACTGTACAAGAAAACTCATTTGCAATCTTTGGTAAATGAGAATGTTGTCATCAGACAAGCATATAAATTATGGGAGAAAAAGAACAAGCAGCTATAAATGCATGGGAAATGTTGCTAAAAGTCTTTAGTGATGGAGATACTGGTCTTTTTTGGGCGCACAATAACAAGTTTAAGGAACAATGGATGCTCAGCCCCAGTGTGTATTATAGGCTGCTATGAATGGCTGCAGCACTGCAAGGCATTATTCTTTGATTCTAATCTCCAAGAGACCCAAACAATGGTAAAAAATCTCCCTAACTGGCCACTAGTTTCAGTAAACTAGGTTGAGAGCCTTATCTACCAAGTGAAAAACAAGGCACTATCTGCATATAATAGGGCTGAAATGGGTTTAGTTGTCAATTTAGGGGCATGAAACAATGCGGATGACAAATGTTCAACAATATTATTTATGTATCAATTAAACAGATTGGACCTAAAACACAGCCTTGCTTAACCCCTGTTGTAGATGACATATGATCTCTTAAGTGCCAATTCATGGTACAGCATGCCTTCAAACAGTTATTATGACACACAAAAAAGATATGGCTTAATAATAAGCTGAAGGCATATTCCAAGAGTCCTGGACCCTTTGTGCACGGCAGGAGAGGAGGCTGAACACCTTCCATGTGCATTGTCTCTGACACATTTTTGGTATCACCTGGCAGAATTTGATTTACAAGGACTCTGATCTGATTTATGCGTGAACTCTATTGGAATTGCCGTCTTAGACCACTGGACTGGAAATAAGGACAAAGTTGTATGTGTATGTATATGTATCCTGCAACTAACCTGATTCAATACAATGATTTCTGCTATCAATACTGTTTCGTTGCCTGGTAACTTCATAAGTCTGGGAAACTCTACTTGTTAGTATCACCTGCACACCTCGTATACTGCAACTCTGTCAATGGCCTCTCCCATTTTGAAGAGACCCTTGTCCAGAAGGCTGAGGCAAAGAGGCAGTCCCTAAACCAGCAAAATCTGGGAGCTGGACAGGGGACCGATTGTATTTGTCTTCAGTGTGGAAGGGACTGTCACACTCATATTGGCCTCCTCAGCCACACTAGACGCTGTTGCAGGACCTCTGTTCAGAGCACATTACCATAGTCTCTTGAGACTGAATCATGCTTTCATTTATTTATCTTGCGAAGGCCTATGGCTATGTAACTAAAATGATACTTCACATATCCTTCAAACAAAAAAAGAAATTTCTAATCAGGCAGTAGTCCACCTGTCAGGTTGAAGCACCCCAGTGCTTTAACCCCTTCTTTAGCTCTCACACACAACCTCCAGACATTGTAACCTTGAGGGATCAGAAAGGAAGTTGTCTCTTCCAGGGTAGACATAGCTTTCCACAAGGAAAAATAAATTTAGGATCGGAGAGGTGCTGACACATTTCAGTATTTAGCCTTGCATGCTTCAATGATTGGTACTTGTTTTTCTGTTACATATCCTATAAGCCATTTGAGATGCCCTTTTTTCTTTTCCTAACCACTTGTCCTCTTTACAGCTAATGTTTGAAGAATTGAGCTTAATAGGAAGAAGGTAGAAATCACAGGGTGGAGAGGGGGGAAAGAAACGCAGAGGAAGGCAATTATTTCAGAGCAGATGGAGAGAAACAAGGAACAGCCCACCAGATTTTCCATTCATTTTGTACAATGTAGGTTAAAACAAAGAAAGACAAAGCTTGGTTCATTTGTTTTTATTTCCTGAAAAAGGGTGGTAATAAATAAATAAAAAGATGATCCAGATTAAAACAAAAATTCTGGTGCATCATTTGAAATGTGATATCTGGAAAAAAGGAGAAATCCTGACATTTTGTGTTTTTTAATTGTTGGAGAAATTATTTTACTCAATAAAAAATAAAAAGTCTCAGTCCTCTGCCCTCTTGCAATATCATTCACTCACAGTTTCCTGGAATGGTGGAATTTTTTGTATGTGAATGTGTGCCTTTAACTGCGGTGGGAATCCTCAGGTGCTAAACAAAGACTTTAGTCTTAATATCTGTTTTTAGGATTAGGATCTTCTTTTGCGAGGAGCTTCTAGGATGGGCTCCCCAACACTTTTGTCTCTCCCGCAGGAGCCGACAGGAGGCGAACAACAAATAGCCCTTCATCTCTTCGTTGTCATGAAGGAGAAGCCGATCCGGTAAGGCAAAGGCCTTGCGTATTTGAATCATGCGTGTTATTCTTACAATTTATGCCTCTTGAAGTCTCTGGTTTCTTTAACTGCTCATTTAACATACGACTCTTATATGTTTTTAACAGAATAGTGTATGACACTTAATGGGGCAGAGAGAATGAGTGAGAGTGAATTGTGTGTCTGGAGTGTGTCTGTGTGTATTAGTAAATTAGTAAAAATTAGTAACAAACTAACTAAACGATCTCTGTACATTCAACCACTTTTGCTCTTAATCAGTCTGGCCCTTTCTTTTTAATGAAATGCTCCATTTGATCAGTGCTTACGTAGAAGGCTGGTATAGTATGGTCTTCTCAGTGTGATAAATAGCAATAGCTACCCACCGTTTTCCAAGCCCAATTCAAAGCCCTGTTTATTACCCTATAAAACTCTAGCCGGCAACCTGAAGGACTGTCTCTCCCCATGTGAGCCTCCTCGGCTCTTAAGAGCTTCACAGGGGACCCACCTCTGGGCCATCGCAGGTACACCTGATGGGGACACGAGAAAGGGCCTTCTCTGTGGCAGCTCCAGTTTACTCAGGAGATTGGGTTGTCCCTTCCTTTACTCCCTCTGCCAACAGCTGAAGACCCACCTTTTCAGACTGGCTTTTACTAGCTGATTCTTGCGTGCTGGTTTTTACCTAGTGAGTTTGTTTTTAAGGTTGTAAATGTTTTTAATTCTTTAAGGTATTTTTAATGATACTTAATTCCTTTTTAATACATAGGTTATTCAGTTTTAAACTCTAGTGGTGAGCTGCCTTGAGTCCCTTTCTCGGGAGGAAGGTGGCCCACAATCAGTAGGCTGTTTGAGGTTTTCCAAAAGTGAATGTGGGGACACTAGGAATTACTTTCCCACCCCTCCTCCCAAAGCCCAGATTATTCTAGCATCCCGTTGCTGACAGAGGGTCCCTGGTTGCCCCAAGGAAGCTGACAAGGAGGGACGGTGGGTCACCAGTAGCCCTTTCCCTCCCCCTGTTCTTTCCCAGCAACTGCGGTTTGGAGGCCTCTCTTCCTGGAGGGAGCATTTGGCCAAAGTGACTGGTAGCCCTTAGTAAATGTTCCCTCCAGTATTCAGTTGAAACCTATAATATGAGATCCACCAACTTCTCTTCAGTTGTTCCCTGGGATTGAGGAGGTTATCTTTATTAATCCTATGAAGAAGGCCTTCTTTCTTTTCCATTTTTAGGGTCCAGTGACCTTTGAGGAGGTGGCCGTGCACTTCACCCAGGAGGAGGGGGCAATGCTGCATCCTGACCAGACGGCCCTCCACCAGGAGGTCATGGAAGAGAACTGGCAAATCGTATCCTCTCTTGGTAAGGCTCTCTTCTTGTCTGGTTGATGTTAATCTCCATCGTTACCAGTGCAGTCACGACTACCAACAATAACAGCAACAGTAGTGTTTCCATGGTAGAATGGTGTCCCAACTGACTTTAGCCACTGCAATATTGGCAAATTTATTGCTACAGTGATCCCACGGAAAATGACAGTATAGCTATCAAGAAGCATATTCAGCTAAAAGAAAACCAGTATTAAGATTTAAAGGTCCTCATACAGTCCTAATTCAGTAAAAAGGCCTTGACCTAATGTTGGTACTATGTGTCCATGAAGGAAATCACGATATTTCTCTTAGCTTTCTTAAATTAGTTTATAGATGTGATGAAAAATTCAAAGGGGGAAAAGAACAATGTATTATGGTACTTGAAAGACTGACTATTTCGTCTTTCCATTAAAGATTTCCTGCCGCAAAATCCACGTCTTCAAAAACTTTTTTTTTTTGGTCTCTAGATCTGTTTATCTCTTCAGTTCAACCATTTTTGCTTTTGTCCTTCTTTCCTGCAGCTAAATGGAGGGAGAAAAATGTATGCCCAAGATATGAAAAGACATTTACACACAAATTAGAGGATGCAGGACACTGGAAAAACCACACAAAAGAAATGTGTACCGAAGAGAAGCCGTACAAATGCATCACGTGTGGAAAACATTTTTCTCTAAGGGTAGCACGGATTGTTCACGGAAGGGTACGCACTGAAAAGAATTGCTTTTTCAGAAAAATGTCTGGGAAATGTTTAAACTGCAAGGCATGCTTTCTGAGCCATCGAAGAGTTTGCACAGGACAAAAACTGTACAAATGGCAAGTTTGTAAGAAATATGTTGTTCATGATTCAAACTTTAAGAACCATAAGATAATTCACACAGGAGAGACACTGCACAAATGCCAGGAATGTGGGAAATGTTTTGCTCGGAATTCACAGCTTGTGAACCACAGAAGAATCCACACAGGAGAGAAACCATACAGATGCCAGGAGTGTGGGAAATGTTTTGCTCGGAATTCACATCTTGCTAGGCATAAGAATGTCCATATAGGAGAGAAACCATACAGATGCCAGGAGTGTGGAAAATGTTTTGCTCGGAATTCAAACCTTGTGAGGCATAAGAATATCCATACAGGAGATAAACCATACAGATGCCAGGAGTGTGGGAAATGTTTTGCTCGGAAATCACGCCTTCTGAGTCATAAGAGAGTCCACACAGGAGAGAAACCATACCAGTGTGAGGAGTGTGGAAATTGTTTTGCTCAGAATTCACAGCTTGTGAGCCATAAGAGAGTTCACACAGGAGAGAAACCTTATAAATGCCAGGAATGTGGGAAATGCTTTGCTCAAAGTTCTAAACTTTTGAGTCATAAAAGAATCCATACAGGAGAGAATCCATACAAATGCCAGGTTTGTGGGAAATGTTTTACACAGAGTTCGGTGCTTGTGAGCCATAAGAGAATCCACACAGTGGAGAAACCATACAAATGTCAGGAGTGTGGAAAATGTTTCGCTCAGTTTTCGTACCTTGTGAACCATAAGAAAGTCCACACAGGAGAAAAACCATACAAATGCCAGGAATGTGGGAAATGTTTTGCCCGGAGCTCACAGCTTGTGAGTCATAACAGAGTCCACACAGGTGAGAAACCCTACATATGCCAGGAGTGTGGAAAATGTTTTGCTCACAGCTCAGTGTTTCTGAGTCATAAGAGGATCCACAAAGGAGAGAAACCTTACAAATGCCAGAAGTGTGGGAAATGTTTTGTTCAGAAGTCACACCTTGTGAACCATAAGAGTGCCCATACTGGAGAGAAGCAACATAAATGCGAGGACTGTGGGAAATGTTTTGCGTACAGCTCAACTCTTGTGAGGCATAAGAGGGTCCACACATGAGAGAAACCATACAAATGTCAGTCATATGGGAAATGTTTTGCTTCCAATTCACAGCTTGTTAGTAATCAACGTTTCCACAAAGGAGAGGATCCATACAAAAGCTAGGAATATAGCAAGTATTTTGCCCACATCCTGTTCTTGTGAAGCATAAAGGAATTCACAGATGGGGGAACAACTGGCTTAGTTTATTTGTTCATTTATTAATTTAAAATATTTCTACACGACCTTTCTCCTTGAAAAGGACCCAAGGCAGCTTACAACAGTCTAAGACAGTATTCAGAGTTTGGAACAATGAGTGTACAACAGTGGTTAACTTCATTAAAAGACAGTATTTAGAGCTAAAAATACATATAAAGAGGCATCTCATTAAAAGACCATTTAAAAGCTAAGAACTATATTTGGACAAATATTTAAAAGGGAGGGAAAAAGTCACTTTTAGAACTGGAAAGCCCGAAAATGGAAAGCACAATAATAATCCATCTAAAAATCACATACAGGTGGCTAAATTACTGAGGGAAGGCTTGCCTGAAGAGGAAGGTCTTTTCCTACTGGCGGAAGGATATCAAAGATGGGGCCAGTTTGGCCTCCTGTGGGAGGGAGTTCCAAAGTCTGGGAGCAGCCACAGAGAAGGCAGTCTCCTGTGTCCCCATCCGATATAGGTGTGAGGGTGGTGGGACTGAGGGAAAAGCCTCACTTCATGATCGTAACCCCCAGGCCAGCTCATAATGGGAAATAGCTTGTAGGTTAAAACTAGCAATGCCCTATTCAGCAGTCCGGCTGCTGTGTTTTGGATCCGCCGAAAGCTTCCTGGCAGCCTCACCTGGCAGTCTCACATAAAGTGTGTTACAGTAATCCAGGTTCTGCCCTACATCTGCTATTACGTATTTTCCTCTGGCTACAGAGAAAAGGCTGGAGAGGGTATCTGTGCAAGGGATGGGCACCATTCCAGGAGCAACTAACTCCTGATGTAGGTTGAGATCCCTGATAAAGGTCCAGTCACCCCCTTCCCTTAGCTGCTTTTTGTGTGGCACCTTCTAAATTCTGACCATGAGAGAGGATGGGTAAGAGGAAGAGTGTGATTGCTTCAAATCCTTCCTCAGTTACTTGCCTTGCACAATATTATTTTTATAGGCAGAATCCACTGGGGGGGAAGTCCCAACATACCGTATGTATGGATTTTTGCCATTAGGACATAGTCCTGCCCCTTCCACTAAAATACTGGGATTAAAAACATCCTATGCTACTGTGGTGGATGAGGGCGATGGTGAGAAACCTGAGGGACGTATTCAGATCGTGAGAAGGCCATCCTCATTCTGAGAAGTGGAATTCTTAGCAGATACATGGAGTACAAGAAGAGTATCTTAAACCCAACATCTCGCTCCATTAGAATTACAGTGGGAGCAAAACGTAACAGCAGGGTAAGGTTTTTCCAACTCCTGATGTAAAATATTTCTAGCGAACAGCAATATTTGCCTCCTGGTTTGAACGCTTTGGCATTGGGAACATGTTGGATGGCCTTAAAGAGATCTCCAGAGAAATCTAAACCCACAATTGTAGTTGTGGAACAGTTACTACAATGCAAGAAGTCTGAAGCAGAAGTACTTAGAGTTGAGTAGAATAAAGAATTATCACCAGATGGATTGCATTGCTGCACCCCTATCTGTAAACTGCCCAGAATGGCCTCTGGGCAGGTGGGTGGTTGTGACGTTTCCCCATTTGGCCCCTGCTTGTTTTTTCCTCACAAAGGCTCACATCATGTTTATTCTCGCTGCCACCAGTGGATTACTTTAATCCACAATTTAAATGACGTCTATCAGAACGCTTGTCTTGTGAACAGAAAGAGAATTTATTTAGTACATACTTTTCTCTTGCAATATCATTACCACCTTCTCTGCCTACTTTCCTAATCAGCTCTATCTCTTTGATTAGCCCTATCTCAGTATCTGTTCCCTCTCTCTCTGACTAACCAGCCCTATCTCTGGTATTTGATTCCAATCTCTATCTGGACTCCTCCTTCTCCTCCTACCAAGCTTCAGGTAGCTGTTGACTCTGCTTCTCCAGTCCTCTCAGAGGTTCATGCAAATCAGCTCCTGAATATGAATAGCATGAGTGATGTGGGCAATTTCCACATTCCTCCCCATAAGAAAAAGTTTGTTACATGAGGGGATACCTTACAGCTTACCCTTATGAACAACGGAACATTACATACAAAAACACCATCATAATATGCTTACCAGTTATGTCCTAAATCACAGTTCCCCAACCCCCAGTCTGCAGCCTGGTGCCAGTCCATGGGCTTGCCAGAACTGGTCTGCGGACATGTCTATGCCCCCCACCCATACCCCCCCAAACAGTCTGCGGACCAAAAAAGGTTGGGGACCACTGTAATCATAAACCATATTTCAACATATAACACATTATATTTACCGTATACTTATACATACCTTATCCTAGTTTTTTCTCTCTTACTATGTTTGCTAGACCAAACTTATTACTGTACTTTAAACATTTAAAATAATCAATGCAATTATAAACATTAATACAAATTACATTACATCTACATTAATAACACTATTCACCATTATTATTTCCTAGCTCTATACACCTCTGTTCATCAGTATTCAACAAGATATCGTATTTTAATTGCATTTCATAACTAGTGCACAAACAGAACATTTAATACAACATTACAAACTTTTTAATCTACCCATTAGTCATTCAGCCTTCGAGACAAGGCATCAGCATCCACACTCCGATTTCCTTTTACGCTGCAGATCACAAAGTCAAAGTCTTGCAGGTTCAGTGTCCATCTTGCAAGCTTACTGTTAGTGTATTTCATGGTTTGTAGCCACACCAGAGGAAAGGGGCGTATTTCATAGTTTGTAGCCACACCAGAGGAAAAGGGTCAGTGCAAAGGATGATCTTCCTTCCCCAAATGTAAGGCTTCAGTCTTTGCAGCGTCCAAACAGTCGATAGGCATGCCCTCTCAATGGCAGTCTCTCACCAGGTTGGAATCTCCTGTCACTGGGTGCAGATTCCCACTGTCATCCACTTGCTACAGCACCAAGTCGGATGTTAGATGCATCTACACAGATTGTGAACCCCTGGTTATAGTCCAGCACAAGAAAGGCAGACCTTGAAGTCCGCACTCTCTTCTGTCAACTGGCAGTTATCGGGCACTCTGAAGTCCACTGGATGTCCTTGGCTCGCCTCTTCCGGGTTAAGCATCTTCTCTTTCTGAAGAGTGGCTTAATTTTCTCGGCTGTGGGAAGGCTAGGTGGTTTCTTCCACTTCTCCAGCACAGCTATGACTGCATTCTTCCTTGAGATCATATTGCTTATGCCTTCCTCCTCACCAACAAATTCACCCACAGGTACTTTTGTTGCGAAGTTGTCCTTATGTGGGGGACCACTATCATGGGTCATCTCCAAATACATAGACATTTTTTTAAGTGTAATCTCAAACACTTGGTTTATTTTAGATGGACTGAGATTTTCATCATCTGATTCTATATCTTTAATATTTGGTTTCTAAGGTAGGGTTTTGCATCACAAGGTTTTAAGTGCTTTTCCAGCTGCAGAGTGACTAGACGTCTCAGCCCTCCAGTTCTGCTGCAACAAA